ATCAAGCTTCGTCCTAAACTCTACTGAACATACAATACCTTAAACTTATTTCTTTCTGTATCGACAGCGCTCAATGCTGTCCAACGCACCACATGAAGCAGCAGCTCAACTAGTACCGGTATCGGTATTAAAAACTTCCCGTATTACACTTCCCCTATAAACTCAACCAAGGATACGGCAGCTGGATCAAAACATCTCAAAAAGAATTTAGTAAACGGCTTCATAAAACGATACTTTTTGCATATACAGTTGTTAGGTCTCTCTGCAGTCAGTCCTAAATATTTTCTCTCAGTTTTTCTGAGTAAAATTATTGAAAACTTTTTATTTCCGTTGTTTTCTTTCTAGCGAAATTTTTAACAAAATTTTCTGAAATATTTGGTGATAGAATGCGCTGCTGTACATTAGAAAGAAAAGTTGTCATCTTGCTGCATTTGATTAAATAGTCCGTGAAGAATTATAAAAACTATATGTACAATCGATTTTTATTTTATCAATTTGTTTTTAGACTAGCACAGTTAGTTTATAATTGTAACTGTCAGCAAGGTAATTTGCCGAAAATTGATTAGCACATGTTTCAAGCAATAAATATATTGAGAATTGACAGATTGAGTTTTTTTGTTACTATATACCTATAATTTTCTTTATTTTGACACGAAAATTTCGCAATTTGGTCTCCAACGTGACTCCCTAGGACAAAGAAAACGGCGTATAAATCACTCTTTGAAAGCGAGTTAAGTGACCTATTTTTTTACTATTCAGGCCGCTTTTAGGCTATTTTTGATCATCTGAACGGCTTGTATTACGGCATAGAAGCTTCTTCACGGTAATTTGACTTCATTTATTACTACACAAATGTCATATTACAGTCGAGCAATGAGTCTGATAAGCTCCGAGTCTCTCTGAAAATGGAAGAAAATTTTCTGTTTATCTTAACATTTTCTCTGTTCTTTATATTGTCGATCTACAAAATATAGCGGTGATATAAAGAAGCAACAGCATTAACGAGCCGTTTTTTCACTGTTTTCAAAATACGTTCGCTTCAGGCCGTAAACTAGCAATGTATGATCAAACTAAAGAACGGAGAGTTAGTGACAGCGTTAAATGCTGGCTTTCTGAGCTTGACTGTAAACTGCGCATTTTTAGACCGTTAAATTAACGATCTAAAAACAAGCAGGGAATGAGACCGTTATTTGGCCATTTATACGTCGTTTCAAGCCACTTCAATGCTTATTTTAAGAGCGGTCTTTAAATATCAGTGAACTAGCTATTTACTGTCAGTTTTTCTGGACTGGACACCTTCAATAAATTCAAAAAGATTCGATTAATTGTATTCTTGTGCGAATATTAGATTGAAGGTCGGTAAATAAGCGGCTATTGACATAACCGGATCGAAAAGAAAGTAAGTACTTTACTCTTTATGTCATTTTCTAGCGAATTTTTCACTTAATCCGAACGGGTTTCTGTTTATAAAAGGAAATAAGGGTAAAGTCAAGACAACTGTCTGTTTATTCGACAAAATTTCCGATTAGACGTAATGGGACTTTTTTGGCTCATAAAACCCGATTTTCCGACATTCTTCTGTCACCTCACCATTTGAAATCTCCCATTTCTCATATGTCAGAATTAGAACCTTTTGTTTGTTTAATTTCTAGATACAGTCATGTTTGATTGGATTAAAAATTGTTTATTTTTTCATAAATTTATTAATGTTTTTATTTTTCAATTATGTTAACTCTACTAGACTTGCCTGATGATGTTCTAGCTTTATTGTGTTCATCATATTTAACACTCACCGATCTTCTTCATCTAGAACGCACATGTCAACGTTTTCATTCTTTATTATCAACGTACGATATTATATGGCAAAAACAAACGAGGCGTAGGATTCGTTTTACATTTTCATTTTATAGTAACCATCATTTATGTCCGCTTGCGGACTATTATCGTCGTCAACAAAAACGAAATTCGCGAACATCCGCGTTTTACTTAGATTCAAATTTAACAAATGATTTTAATTATCAAATTTTATTCTCATCATCACGAGCATTCGTGCCAACAGATTATTGTCGGCAAAATTCAAGTGAATTATGTACAAAATCTGATTGTGATATTAATCGTCTATTGTTTAACAATAAAAGTCAAGCCATATTAGCACATCGTTGGACAGAAAATAATTTTTATAGACATGTCCTTATTAAATTTAATAAACATTTTCAAACATCGTTATTGTACTATGACGAACATAATTGTCATCTATGGTTTACACAAGATAGAAATTTGACGTATCTAAACACAAATACACATGATATTGTTAATTGCTATCACTCTAATGAAGATGATATTTTGTGTTATAAAGTAGTTGATCAACAACTAATTTGTCTGGCAGATGGATCAGTTTTACGCGTAATATCAAGAGAAACTAAAAATGTCTTTACTTATTATGATCATCGAGATGATATATTAGCATTAGATGTTTTCACTAATAATTATCAAAGATATTTAATAGTGAATGGCACACACAATCATATGATCTCAATGAGAACGTTTGATGTTGATTATGAAACAAGCGATTTAGAATGGAAAACACGTTTAAATGATCGTATACTATGTACAAAATTTACAATTGATGGTCATTATGTTCTAGTAGGCACAGGAGCAACAACAAATACATATCCAGTAATATTATTCAATACAGAATATGCTAAACCGTTTTATTTATTTAACGATAATTACCGAAGAGGAGCTGGTGTGCGGTGTATCGAATATATCGATGGAAATTGTTTTCTAGCTGGTGGTTATGATGCATTAATCAAAGAATTTGATCTAAGAACAGGAAAATGCCATTCGACATTCGAAGAACCCTTTGGATATGATATATCGTCGCTAGCTGTGGCAAATGATAATTCATCAGGCGTTCTCATTGGAACAAATTATCATTCAACTGTAAGACTCTACGATAGAAGACAACGAAATTCAAAAAGGTTGTTTTTTGTATCAGAACATAATAGTCCCGTTCATAGTCTGCAAGTAACACCAGAAAAATTTTATGCAAGTATTGATCATGCTGTTGTAATGTTCGATTTTTCTAAAGTAGACTCTAAAAACGCTATGTTACCGCCACCATCATCGTCATCATCATCAAATATAAAAAGGCGTTTAAAGTCAAAACATTAGATTAATGTGATACTTTTCTTTTTAGTTTTTATATTTTTTCTGACATATGTTTAAAACAAAATAAAAAATGGATGTACGTAGGACGAATAAATATGTAAGTATTGTACAATGTCCCTTTTTCTTTTAAGCGAAAGATTTTAACTTTCAGCGATTATATTAAAACGCGGTAACCGGTCTGGATTTAAGATAGGCATTAATTTTTGGATGATTTTCTACATCTTGACGATTTTGTCTTAATTTTGGATATGGTTCTAACAAATAACTATCTAATGTCAACAAATTTGTGATACTATCGTAAACTAATAAGTCAGCCCATGTTAATTGATTTCCAACAAACGAGAACCCATTTTCACTGTACATTGAATGTAATTTCTCTAATTGCCCTAATACTTTAGGGATATCTGTAGTTAACAATTGATGTTTTCCTTGTGCTTTCGCTGTTTCGTCTTTCAGTTCAAAATATTTCTGCGTAAATTTATCAGTCAAATCATTCATCGTATCGACGACACCGTTCACTTTGGCTT